AAAGAGGGAGTGCAGGGTTATACTTAGAGAGCCACACAGAAGCACCAGCCCTCTCCTGAGCTCACATTCCCCCCTTCACCATCTGCACTATAAGACGAGCAGACAGAGCAGAGAGAAACGAGGACAAGATACATCTAATATGTTCTGAAGCTGGATATCTCTTTTGCTTTTAAATGTGTATGGTCATATTTGCTCCGGTAAGTCCTTGCTTCAGAATCTCTGTATGTCTGGTAGCAGTCATCAGGTGGTACATAGTTATTTATTCATAGAGTTAAACTGACTTAATATTAATAATATTCTATGGTAGTTTTTGTTGTAAGATGTGGGATTTTTTATGAGTTTTGTGGTGCAGTTTCTTCAACAGTAAGGCTCCAGATCTCCCAACATCCCATTCATCAGAGACCTTTTAGGTGCTAACATTGCTCTCATCATTTGACTGAATCATTCATAATTCCGAATGAGTGAAATGTCTATTTCTGTAAGCTTATGAATGAGTCATTATTTACGATCAATGAAATGTGGTGCAAAAAGGCGATTTGGTTTCCAGTTTTTTCACATAGTAGATGTTTAGAGGTTGTTGGACTCACACTGTATCTATGCCATTGTGAGCTTTTTTAGGCTTACTAGAAACTGAAAAAAAAAAAAGAATTTTTTTGTTGAATAGATTGTAGTGATCAGGTTGAGGAGATTCACTGGATATCTATCTTTATGTTACATGGTACCCCGAATAGACTTTTAAAGTAATAGGCTAGACTGTAAAACTATGAAAAAAATAGACTGATAGAGGACTTAATGTGAAAAAGGTGGGCAGGCTTAGTAGTCCAAAATTTATATATATAATGTATTCCATTCCAGAAGAGCTTCTGAAGTCTGAGAAACTGGCCCTTACATTTAGTTTTTTCAACATTTTCTGAGCTGATTTTGTCTTAATCTGTGAAATGTATTTAAGTATGGTATATATTTTATACACTACCATTCAAATGGTAGTAAAATTATTACAATTTAAAATATCACTTTACTATTTTTATATATTGTAAAGTGTAATTTATGTAATGGCAAAACTGAGATTTCTTTTGTGTGTGAACTTCAGCATCATTACTCCAGTCTTTGGTGGCATATGATCCTTCAGAAATCATTTTAATATGCTGATTTGATGCCCAAGAAACATTCCTTATTATAACAATGTTGAAAGCAATTCTGTGCTTATTATTATTTTTGTGGAAACTGTGATACACTTTTCCAGAATTCAAGGACAGCATTTATTTGAAACAGAAAACTTTTGTAACATTATAAATGACATAAACATTATAAATAGGTTGATTTCCTACACACTTTTGCTCTGTTTGTTTGAGTGCCCTGACATAGAAACAACCAGTGGAGTTTGCAGGACCGCCTGTTTGGCTGAGCAGTGACAAATGTGCAGAGTATTTGAGATGGTCCTCACTGCAGAACACAAGATCCAGGGGGTGTGGATCCAGATCCAACTCCTCCCACCTTACATATACTTAAACCTACCCGTCTCCACCCCCTGATCCCTAAACCCACCCATCTACCCATCTCCACCCCTAAACCTACCAATCTCCACCCCCTAGATGTGGATCCAACCCCGCCCCTGGATCTTTGTTCTGCAGTGAGGGGCTACTGGAGTATTTGAGGAAACCTGTCTGAAAACAGATGTTAGTAGTGGAGATAAATTACACATTTCACTTTTAAGGAAAAAAGTTTGTATTCCGGTTCTTCTTTTTTATTATTATTGCATTGACTGACACTGTCATTGCATCATTAATGTCTTTTTGCCACAGAATTCTTTGAACACTATTACAAAAAATACAAATTAAAACTGAATTTTGAGTGCTATCTCGATGTGCACTTTCCTTTCCTTCACATTATGCTCTGTCTTGAATTTTGAATATAGTCTCATCATTTATTTTTTTCTGGCTTTCAGTCTTGCATATCTGCAGAATGACTTGAAGGGGCCTATATGGGTTCACTGAGAGGTATTACCTCCTACAGAAAGCCCATTCTCATATCAGTATCACAGAAATGTGTTTTATGCCAGTCCGTTTAGCTCTCAGACATCTTGAGCATGTGCTTAATAAGACTTCACAATAGATCCATGGCCTAAATAAAAAGGGATAATGGACATATAAAGAGAAAAATAGTGAGAAAGAATGGGACAGAGGCAGGGTTTATAGAGGTATCAGGAGAGGTTGTGTAAAAGAGATAAATGTTAAAGACAAGATAGAGGAGACAGAGAGACAGAGAACACCTCTTGGTGGTTGTGATCACTATTATGAAAGCTGTTCAGGCATCATAGTTTCACTCAAGTTTTCGCAAACATCCTTTGCATCCTTTGCTTAACACCTCTGAATGAGAATTCATCACTTGTTTACTGTGGCTCGGACTCGTCTCGTCGTTGGCAATTCAAATGGTCCCTTTAAGCACTTTTTCTCATTTTACAGTCAACATGGAACTTTTAATGAATATTTAAATGGGCATTCAAAAGGAAATTTTATTGATCAGGAATTGATAAGGAGTAGTGGTTTCATGAGGGGAGCGCTTGGTGACGTCAATTTAGGTCGATGCAGGTTATTACGAAAAAAAAATTTCTTGTTATGAGACATATTAAAGTAATATCACACGAGAAAGAGTTCGTCATCTCAAAATTTGTGTCAAGCCTCTGTTACGTTAAAACTATAGCAACAATGGTGGTATGAGAGAATATTGATGAACAGGGCCGTGCACAGTGGGGTGGCCCGGTGGCTAGAGCCACTGCCCCTTTGCCCTCATCGGCTGAGGTGCCCCTTTCACTCTCTCACTTTCATTATTGTAATTAAGTATATTTCCCATTATAATCACTTATCTTGATACTAGTAATCAATAACTGTCACGTTTATGTTCGGTGTTTCTGTTCTCTCTGTCATGGCTCAGTTTGCCCTGGGTTAGGGGTAAGTTGACCCGAGTCGAGTCAGTGGGTAAGATGCACCATCTGGGTGTAAAATGACCATCTGGCCAAATCTGATTCAAACCCATGTGAAATAAATAATTTAAAAACTAATTTAATAATTTCCTTTTACAAACAGTCATATTTCTTTTCATAAAGTTATCTTTAACAACATAAAACCAACCAAATGTTTACATTTCAGTATTTAATTTGCATTTCTGAAACAATATGTTGAACACCAAAGTTGTAGCCTTCCTAAAAACAGACTAAACAGAGAGTTTGTTAGCCATTAGTGACTACAGGTGGAAAGATATATCTGATTATAATGTGATGAAAAGCATTTTCTGGTTCTTATCAGAGAAGGATTTG